GAAAGGTTTATGAGTGCGAGAAGAGGAGAGGGAGTTGAGTCCATTATTTGAATGGAATCAACTTCACACTGTATTTCATTTCTCTTAAGTATTAATTAGCATGTACCATCATAAAATTAAGATGTTATTTTACTACAACATAGTTATTTGTCGTCAAAAAAGGGAGTTTGGGGTCGGGCTGGGTTCTATTGGGAATTAATCCCATGTATGTTCTGTTATTCACTTAACGCTGTTTTCACTTAACGCGGGACCCCTGGGTTCAATTGACTCTAATGGGTATAACTGATATAATATATAAAATATATATAAATATATGTTATATATATATACAGTATATATATATATAATATATATATAAAATATATATATATATAAATATATACATACACACACACATAATACACATAATATATATATATATATACATAAAACATACATATTATTATATATATATATATATATATATATATATATATATATATATATATATATATATATATATATATATACATATATATAAAATATATATATATATATATATATATATATATATATAATATAAATACACATATATATATACAAGTAATTTCATCATCATCAATCACTGCACTCAATAAATAAATGACTAAAACACAAAAATTAACTTTGTATTATACCAGCTAAATTTACTTCAATTATAAATATCCATAAAATGACTAAATTATCAAATTTACTAAAACAAATGACTTGCAGTCGGTTTGCAAAAAAATCTGAAAACCTAATTTTTGTTCAACTAAATTGAATATTCTTAATTTTTATATATATATATATATATATATATATATATATATATATATATATATATATATATATATATATATATATATATATATATATATATATATATATATATATATATATATATGTTATCCTCGTTAACTAACGCCAAGTTAACTAGATTTCGTTAACCATTTACCTTTCCATAAGATTCTTAACTTCAGTTAACGAGTTTTTTACAGTTTCACTTCAACATGTTTTCGCTTGTATCATGTCCACCAGCTGTAGTATTAGTCCACCAATACAGTAATCGGTTTTAGGCTTAAATTTCTTACTATTTTAGTAAATATCAATTAGTTTATACTATTCAATAAATTTTAAAGTTTAATATTAACTTTTAGTCATTTTAACAATTATTGAAAATATATGAAGGTAAAGAAACTAGTTTCATGTGCCATCCAGCCTGTTAACACACCAGACAGGCGTTAGTCTCTCTCTCTGTTTTCACTGGAGGTAAGATCTCTTGACCTCTTCAACTAAACGCTTTTTTCTGTGTTTCAAATTATTGGTCCTTTGAAATTTATTTTACATATTGACAATATATAATGCAGTGCAGTGTTGATTTAAAGAAAATAATCTTGAATTACACCACGAGAACTAAAATTTTATGGGTGAAATGGTGCCATGGGGTGACTTCTCTTCCACCCCAATGCCTTCTCTTCTCCCTTCTCCTCCACCCCCATTCCAATTCCCATCATCATCATCATCCTCCAGGAGCCTTCTACATACACACCTCAAAGTAAGTGTACTTTTCTACCTTTTTTGTTGAATTTAGGCAATTTTCGGTGAGCTGGAGCCAATTACCCAAAAACCCATTTAAACAATAGTTTCGGTTAACGAGTTTTTTGGTTAACGAACAACCTGCTGTAACGGATTGTGCTCGTTAACCGAGGGACCACTGTATATATATAATTACGAATGAAGTTGTATGTGTTACCATAAGCTATACAGTCAACCCTCGCTTTACGCGGTCCCACATTCCGCGTTTCCACGTTTACGCGGTACCCTGCCGAAACCGGAATGCTCACATTCCGCGGTGCGTGTACCCCTTTACGCGGAGAGCTGCGCGAGCAGGGTGTGCACAAGGTCGCCCAGTCATCAAAACATTACCGAGTTCTTCACCCGCCACCCACCACAGCCGGCCCAAGTCAGTGATAGTGATAATGATAGTGAGGATATGGACTTGTATGGACTTTGAGGGGTTTGACAAAGAGGCCCTGCAAGCCTCTGTGGTGGATAGTGATACAATTGATGCCCAGCCATCTTTTCTACTAATGTAAGTGTTAAAAAACCTAATATTATTGATATTTCTCTTAATTATTAATTGTGTGTGCATACCATCATAAAATTAAGAAGTTATTTTTACTACAACGTAGGTATTGTGTCTGAAAAAGTAGAGTTTGGGGGTCGGCCCGGTCTCTATTTCAATTAATCCCATATGTTATGTTGTTCACTTTACGAGTTTCTCACTTTATGCAGGCCGCCTTAGGTTGAATTAACCGCGTAAAGTGAGGGTTCACTGTATATATTGTACCTACTTATAGCTGACACATTCAACATCATTGACAGCCATGTTGAAAGCTTCAACTATATATACTTTTAGTGAAATAATCAAGTATGTTGAGTGTTAGGGTGAGTAATAGAGGCGAGAATCCTTTTTCCGCCCCATGAGAGACTGGCAGCCAAACCATGGTAAGTGATGGACTCCTATTTGGTTTCCACATTCATCTACATACTATCTTTTAATCCACGAGCGTTAAATTGATGTTCAGGGAAAATCAATGCAAGTGGGGGGTTTTTGCGCACCACAGGGATGATTGGCGAATCACTCTACCACAGTAATTAGGTTAAAAATCAGTTTTATGATAAAATCTTAAGTGTTTTACAAGATAATATAATTTCCAAGAAATTTGTCTGCCAGAAATGGCAATCTTGTGCTCCTTAAATATAAGACAAGTAATAAAATATTTCTTTCATGATTTCACAACAAAACTATAAATTTGAAAAATGCCCACTAAATATTCCTACACACTCAAAAGGTTAAATGTAAAACAAATTAGAAATACTATGTTAATAAAAGCAAGTGCAATTTTTTTTTACATTTCCTCCAAACTTTAATGAAAATAAATCATTTGCTATGTGGATGACTGAGTTAAACTGTAGTTCTAGGGATAACTTACTAAAATACCTAATTGTCAGCACGTTTTTCTCACATCTTTGTTCAGTGAAGTAACACTAGAGGAGATGAAGACCGAAGATGGTCTTTTTGTAATCTCATTTTAAGGAAGATGGCATTGCAGTTATTTATTCAGAGAATGCAAGACTTGATATTAAAAGGAACTAAAGACAGGATCTCTCCAAGTTCAACTGCAACACCTAAATATAAGAGGATAGCTCTGATGAACCAGCTGCCTGAAGGCTTACTATACATGTGCCCAGCAACCCTAAAAGGCTGCAAAAACACTCTTTGCTGAATGCAAATCTCTCAAACATATTCACATTGTGACTGCTAGATACTCCATCGTTTCTGGAGTACAGTTTTACCCCGCCTAACGCGGTTTCACTTAACGCGTTTTCGCATATAGGCGGTGCCTTGCCAAAGCTGAACTTTCACTTAACGCGGATTTTTTCCACATATACGCGGTGAGTGTCCGAGACGCTATTTTTAGATTTGCCCCACCCGCCACCCTGCCTGACTGCCTGGTTTAGCTCATAAAATTCATACAAATTACCAGGCCAGAATATAATTTACATTGCTGGAATTCTTATAATTTGGTGATCATTTTGAATATAAACATCATATATTTTGCTTTAAACTTACAATTTTTAGATAAAAATTTTTCTCTAGGTAACTATGGTATCTTTTGTGCAAAATATATGACATTTATATTCAAAATATTCCTGGTCTTACAAGGAATCCAGCAATGTCAATTATATTATCCTAACTTTAGTTTGAGGTATTATTTATTAAAATTTAGTGGTTATCCCACACATCTCCTTGGGACGGTTGGTGGGGGGTGGGGGGGAGGGAGGGACCGACCGACCATCTGTTACCCTGTGAAGAATTATTATTTTTTTTTATTAACTGAAGATATTTGTTTTAGCTCATAAAATTCATACAAATTACCCGGTCAGAATATAATTTACATTGCTGGAATTCTTATAATTTGGTGATCATTTTGAATATAAACATCATAGATTTTGCTTTAAACTTACAATTTTTAGATAAAAATTTTTCTCTAGGTAACTATGGTATCTTTTGTGCAAAATATATGACATTTATATTCAAAATATTCCTGGTCTTACAAGGAATCCAGCAATGTCAATTATATTATCCTAACTTTAATCTGAGGTATTATTTAATACTAAATGTTAAAAACTCTGGAAGGGAGGATTGGTGGGGGGTGGGGGGGAGGGTTGGGACTGACCGCGCGGTTGGAAGAGGGGGGGAGGCAAGGTGGGGTACTTTGATTGACAGATAGTGTCGTGAAGATTATTTTTTTTTTATTAACTGAAGATATTTGTTTTAGCTCATAAAATTCATACAAATTACCCGGTCAGAATATAATTTACATTGCTGGAATTCTTATAATTTGGTGATCATTTTGAATATAAACATCATATATTTTGCTTTAAACTTACAATTTTTAGATAAAAATTTTTCTCTAGGTAACTATGTTATCTTTTGTGCAAAATATATGACATTTATATTCAAAATATTCCTGGTCTTACAAGGAATCCAGCAATGTCAATTATATTTTCCTAACTTTAGTTTGAGGTTATCCCACACATCTCCTTGGGACGGTTGGTGGGGGGTGGGGGGGGGAGGGAGGGACCGACCGACCATCTGTTAGCCGGCTGTGTAGTGTGAGAGGGGGAGGGAGTTGAGTCCATTATTTGAATGGACATTAACTTGGCGACTGTATTTCTCTATTTCTCTTAAGTATTAATTGTGTGCATGTACCATCATAAAATTAAGATGTTATTTTTACTACAACATAGGTATGTGCCTTCAAAAAGTGGAGTTTGGGGGTCGGGCCGGTTTCTATTGGAATTAATCCCATATGTTCTGTTGTTCACTTAACGCGGATTTCACTTAACGCGGGACCCTCTGGGTTCAATTGACCGCGTTAAGTGGGGTACAACTGTATAGCCCAGCTGTACAAGAGGAGGTTTCCTTTGGGAACCCTCAAGTCAACTTGAAAATATGTAAACCCAATACATGAGTCACCTGAATCACTGTGTCTGTTATAAGAGCAATTTTATTATAAAAAAAAGCAATTTTTTTATATGTTGTATAATGCACTGACTTGTAACTCACCAATATTTCTTAACCGCGTATGCTCCATCAGAGAAGTTAATTCTAGCTTCTTGATTCTTTTACTGCCAAAAGCATGAAGAGAATCAACCTCTGAAACATCTCCATTGGCCTTGCCAGAGCCTCCTCCCAGACCAATCTTGAAATGTTCTTCAAATTCTAAGAAGTCAATAACATTGAAGAGCTTTTCATCATCTAGTTCATTAAAGACGGTTCCTCGGACCTATGGAATAATAAAAATTTAATATACTGTATAATAATGAAATCAAGGAATATATTTACTCAATAATAATAATAATAATTATAACAATAACAATAATAATAATAATAATAATAATAATAATAATAATAATAATAATAATAATAATAATAATAATAGCTGGTCTTTTGTTTCTAAAAAGCACCAGTTCTTCTAAAGAATTCACTAGCTCTTAAATATTTCTGGTAATATAAATCAATGATGATTATTTTTGTAATTACAATGCCATCTTAAATGTATGATCTACTGAGCAAAATAAGGAAACAGAAAAACGCTTATCAATAACAAGAATTACATATCCATAACAACAAGAATTATGTATCCATAGATGTTTTACATAAATGAGTAACTGATCAGTCCTTTACTTTCGAACATAATTGGTTCCGGTAGTCTGTTTATAAGTCCATATGTTCCTAAGTCCAAAGTCACCTCTATTGCTTGCAAACAATGAGTTAAATATGAAAAATACTGTATGTACAGCACACCCACAGCACAATACTCCATCAATTTATTGTACGACTTACCTGAGAAATATACAGCCATAAACACAAAAGTTTTTCCATCTCATCATGGAATTTTCCTCTTTTCTAACTGACCATGGTCGATCGCATGTGTACAGAACGATTTACATACTCAATAAGTCCTTTAAAATCATACCAACAGTCGAACGCTTCAGTCTACAAGCAAGAGCTATATTTGTCATCTATTATCTCTTTCCACTTACTTTATTATAGCCACTTTCGTTTCCACTACCTTTACACTTCTCGGACACATTGGGGTCAATAATGTTATTAAAACCCACAAGAAACCAATTATCACTGCCGTAATGCAGCGAACAAGACAACAACAACTAAAATGCTGCCGCTTGACCGGGATTATTGGAAGTAGCACACTAATGCCATCTATTGCGCATCAGTAGAAAGAAAGACTCTTGCACTTTCACACCGAATGGAAATTTGGACATACGGATAGGTTTGTGCATATGTATGAAAGTTCTTAAGTAGAGGAGATCCTGTATACAAAAGCTGTTTTTGCCCTTTTCTTAAGCAGCAATATCACAAAAAAAATGATCTTGTCAAATATAAAACTAATTCCTTGCTCACCTGATTGGGCTTAAGGGCAACCCAGTTAAGTGTGGGTAACTTGTATTTTGTATTGACTTTCTTTTTTATCGTCATTGAGTCGGGTGGAGCAGCTAGATTCATTCCTGGAGCTGGAGGTGGAGGTCGGAATGCATGGCTCATGCCCATTGGTAATTTTGGCGGTGCAGGTGGAATGTTACCTCCAATAGGTGGAGGTGGTGGTGGAGGAGCGGAGGAAGTAGCAATACCTGGCGGTGGAGGTGGAGGTGGAGGAGGAGCAGGAGCCATTGGTCCACTACCAGTTCTTTCTGCACCACCTGTTGTACATGTGGTATTAAATACATTCACAACGAGTTAAATGAATTTTATGTGTAAAGTAAATAAGTAAATAAATAAAGCAGTCTAAAACATTAGGCCTAAATTTAAAAAAAAATTTAACTTTAAGGTACATGAAAATTTATTGAGAAAGGGAAAGAGACACTGATGCCAACATGGTGTGAATACCCAGTAATTGCATTAAAATTTTGTGAGTTACACAAAAAGAATAATCACACTAAGATTTGCGTATTATAGTTTCTAGTGTCAAAATATGCACAGAAAATCTTCTTTTGACCATAAAATGTTTTTCTATGATCAAGGTTAAGTCTAAGAGTGTAAGAGGTGACTAGTTAAACAGACCACCTGTTCACGGTTAACAAAAAATTTTATTACTCATTCCAAAATATTCTTTAAGCTTATGGTATTATAAGACTATAATTTCAGAAATTACTTACCAGACTTACTAGGGTTTGATCTTGCAAGAGTTTCAAGTTCTTGTATTTGTTTTTCTAATAATGACTGTCTTTGACGAGACTCCTCACTCTTTTGATTGACTTCCCGTCGTAACGTTGACACCTCCTCTTGAACCTTTAAAATTATAAATTAATAAAATATCAACTTCATGTACAGTATACTGTATATTGCGAGATATTTCAATTTTCTTTAACCTTTTCATTATGGCAGGGAAAACAATTAATAACCCACAGACCCCAAATTGCAAGTTTATGAAGAATTGAAGTGTTTTAATTCAATTTCTTTTCTTCCCATTTGAAAGTGCATGTCTTCCCGAGGCCAAACATGATGAACAGGTGCTAGCAATGCTTCAATGGTAGCAACAAATGCGCAGTAATTAATGTCGTTGCTGCCAGGTGCATGTTTGCCTAATTACCACATGCAGTACACAGTAAATAATAAACATTTCAATTGCTTTCGTGATAATTTTTCTCTTGCCTTTTGAAATAACGTGCTTCTCTGAACCCTAAAAATATTACATCTATTATTATAAGCTTTAATACTTTTGCTTCCATGAAATTTCTGAAAGTGGTCAGCAGCAGAAGGCATTGTCTTGAGTTACGGATGTCACACATCTATCGCCATTATGGTAACCGAGAATTTTTCATGGCGTGAAATATGGGCTCAACCGATGGAAACAATATTGTAGATAGGTTGCCATACAATACTTTCCAATCACAAACTGCTCTCAAACTTAAGCGTGCAAATTAAATTTGTTAAGGGATGTATACATCCCATCCGTAATGAAAAGTTAAATCTGAAGTACAGTAATTAATGTTTTAAAATGAAAATACTGTCATCCTCTATTAATCTAATTACTGTACAGTTTAAACAAATTCAATAACTACAGTTGATGTAACCATCTCAGTACAGTGCAGGTAGTATATAAAAACCACGATGAAGAAAAATGTTACATACCTGACAGTGAACATTCTCTAGCTCCTCCTTTTGTCTGTGCACCTCAACTAGCTCACCCTCTAACTCGACCAACTTTGCTAATGATTCTGCTTCCATCTCGGACATTCTTTCTGCCATCTGAAATAAGATAATCATAATAGATAACTCCTATTCTTCTCTTTCTTTACCTGCATATCCGTTAAAGGAGAAGAACAATATCTGCTTCCATACACACATAATTATGACAAGTATTTTTGTGAACAATTTTTTTTTTTTTTTCAAAAATAGAAAACATGATACAATAGTTTACTCGTATTAGATGTGATGAGGCAGACTCCCAAATTAATTTCCTTTTCTTTTTAGACTAATTTGCTGACTGATTAGAAAAATTTCTGCACAGAGATAAAATTTTGGAATCCTGAAGAACTAAACAGAAGAGCAAGCAAAACATTAGAGACTTCATTCCCAATATTTTCTAAAAATAAAACAATATTCTTGTGTAATCCTTCTTTATGTACCTTACTTTTATATACTTACTAATGCTTCTTTTACAATATCCTTTAATTTACACTAATGAAATTTATGACATTTACAAGTACTCGTTACAGTACTGTATGGTACTTGATTTTTTGTAAAATTTAGACAACCAAAGTGATGAAAAATTTATGTAACAAGACACTCTTAAATGACCTAACAGACTATCACTGAGATACCACACTGGGCTAAGCTATATCTCACAGTAGGAACATTGTTTACATTATAAACCTTGATGTTTTGTCAATAAATATATAATAAACTCCTGTACTAGTGGTCAGAGGCTTCAAAAGCCAGTGAGGACTAAATTTCATGAGACAAGATTCACTGAGTTCATCTATTTTGGTCCCCCAACTGACCTCATGGGTTAAAATGAACCAATTCTCAATCCTTGCCATAAATCTACTGTCTACAACCTTCAGCTAAGGTGTTACTCTAACATTTTCTTGAATGTACAAACAAGTGCTGCAAGTTCATGATTTTGAAGAAGTTGGTGAAATTAGAAGTTCACATACAGGCAACAAAATCTAGTTTATCAGAACTTCATGGTAAGATGAGTGGAGATGGCAAACAAATGTATATGTTATGGATTCTATTATATAACTTACTACTCCACTAAGACTAAAGTGAATATGTAAATGTTTTGTATGCATTTCATTTAACCCATATACTGTATATCCTGACAGTGAGATTGGCATATATAGGCATACATATTAAAAATTAGCATCCACTGGAGCTTTTCCAGGGGGATACAGGAACAGGCACGCTCCCACAGTCGTAATTGAAAGGCTTAATATTTTAGTGGTTTGTCACAAAATTATTTTTAAGGTTTTTCAGGACATTTCATGACAAAGCACATACATTTGAAAGCTCAGAATTCATTGTTACTTTCTTATGTAAATGTTTTGGTTTGTTTCCAGGTTGGGTGTGGGTCTCTTTCTTTCAGTCCTGTGATTGATTCATCAATAAAATGACTCAAAAGGCAATAAAGTACTGTACCTTGTGGTTTTTGTTTCTGTTTTTCAGAAAAGCATACCACTTATTATAAGTTACTTTTGTTAATTTTTCTATAAAAGTACACTTTGTGTTGCTGCACTGTACCATATTTAATAAGACCAGTACAGTATAATAAAGAATTTTTTTAATAATTAATTGTAAAATACTGTAAAACTTGGTTTAAGTTGTTCATTTTTATATTAAACATTATAATTTAGATACGTTATATATGACCTAACACAGTGACCTATGACATTAACAACATTATCGTATCAGCGGGTTGGCCCCGACCACTATGTCAGGGCTCAGGGATGTAAGAAAGACCATGTCAGTCACTTTGATAATGGTCTGAGTGAAAAGCGTCCTTGGCATGCCACGAACAACTATAGACCAGTGAGCCTGACCAGAATAATATGTAAAGTACTTGAGAGTATTATCAGAGATGCCGCAATGGAACATCTACTACGAAACAACCTTGTAAAAGATTGCCAACTCGGTTTTATGCCGGGGCGCTCTTGCTTAACACAATTGCTCAAGGTATTGTATATTTGGACCCATATTCTAGAACGGGGTGGTAAAATTGACATTATTTACCTAGATTTTGCCAAGGCTTTCGACAGTGTACCCCACGAAAGGCTGAAAATCAAACTGGAAGGGTACGGAATTCGGGGAAATGTCCTAGCGTGGATAGAAGGCTTTCTACATGACCGCAAGCAGTGTGTGGTGATTAATGACACGAAATCGTCATCTGTACCTGTAACAAGTGGGGTACCACAGGGCAGTGTATTGGGCCCGCTGTTGTTTGTTTGTTTCATAAATGACATGCCTGACGTTGTACACTCCTCCATACAAATGTTTGCCGATGACGCCAAGTTATTTCGGGAAATTAAGAACCAAGCGGACTGTGAAGAGCTGCAGAAGGACCTCTGTGGGCTCCAGGAATGGTCGAAGAAATGGCTGCTGAGATTCAATGTCACGAAGTGTAAGAGGATGCACCTGGGGCGTACCAACGGTAAGGAGGCGGATCATATGTCCCAACAGGATGAAGAAAATGCACTAGTTGAGACTGTGTGAGAAGGACCTAGGTGTGTATGTTGACAATGAGCTGAAGTTCTCGGGCCATTGTGAGAAGAAGGTAAATCAGACAAATAAATTATTGGGTCTTATAAGAAGGTCGTTCAGATATCTAGACGGTCCGTCCCTCGTGACGATCTTCAGAAGTGAAGTGCTTCCCCATCTGGAGTACTGTCACCCCATCTGGTCCCCGAGATATGCTAGGGACTGTCAGTTGGTTAAAAATGTTCAAAGGAGGGCCATCAAACTGGTGCCTGCACTTCGGCACCTCAGCTACCCTGAGAGATTGGAGCGCCTGAACTTGCCTAGCTTATACTACAGACGGGCAAGGGGGGGACCTAGTTTAGGTGTATAAGCATCTCAGGGGGCACTACTCAGTTGAGTGTCCTTACTTGGAGCTGGCGGACGCTCGCCCCACAAGGGGTCACAGCTCAAGATTGAAGAAGCCGCAAGTCCAAAAAACCGTGAGGGCAAACTTTTTCGGAGTGAGGGTTGTAAACTCTTGGAGCAATCTACCAGAGAGTGTTGTGACGGCACCGAGTGTGAGCTCTTTCAAGAGAAGACTTGACCAACACTGGAGCAGGTTCAGGTACATTCAGGAGCTGGTGCATGCCCAGTATTTGCCAACAGTGCGTGACAGAGACGTGACCGATCGCCCGGGCGGCTAGCGAGCCGATCTTTTGGTGAAGAATATAAATGAAAAGAGACGTGACCGATCGCCCAAGCGGCTAACAAGCCGATCAGTGGCGAAGAGGATAAAAGTAAAAAAATATCCTATAAGTCACCTTGGTAGTGCAATTACCTAAACTTGTGAGGGTGACACTTTTCTGTATCACAATTAAACTAAAATACAATGGATCCAAGTGTTTCTATCTACTGTACGTCTAACCACTACCCAGCAGCGGTGAGTGGGTGGCTGGCAAGGGGGGAGGTAGCCTTCAGTGTGTATGCTGGTTGTAGAGAAGAGAGAGAAAGCATCTAGCTGAAGGCATTTACAGGGAGCTCTTCATTAAGACTACAAGTTACAGTCTGCCCAGATTAATGCCGAGGGTTAACATAAGAGTCTGGCTGTCATGGGTTGCGTTAGGCTTACCCACGCAACCAACTCCAAAGTTTGTTTTACTAGAGATAAGACACCCAGCGAGGCATAACTGGGACATGTATTTTCCATTAGTGTATGTAAGCCAGCCTTTAGGGGGGTGGGCAGTGAAACAGTGTTGTACTGTTCATCGCTTCACACCCAAAAACCTCATTTTTAAGTAGTATCAGGATGACCATGGATTAGTTAAGACGTCGTACCCATCCTCTCCCTCCTGAAAGGGAGCAGGGCACCACACCACACAAAGTCCTCCACCGCCACTCCGCCCTGTGGACCGTCGTCAACACAAGATTAAGTGTGTTAACCTAGGTTGTTATCCCTGTGGAAATATCACGTGTGGATGCCTGGTTGCAACAAGAGCAATCCAGGCTGGCCTATCAAACCTACAGTAAATGGTTAATTAATTCATGCTTACAGAGTTCTCCTGCACGACACCCGTCTACAGTGACCGTGATCGACACGAGACTAAGTGTATTAACCTAGGTTTGTTATCCCCGTGGAAATATCACGTGTGGAAGCCTGGTTGCGACAAAAGCAATCCAGGCTGGTCTATTGCACCTAAATGGTTAATTCAAGTCACGCTTACCAGTTCTCCTTGCCGCGACAACCGTCTACAGTGACTGTCAGTGACGCGAGACTATGTGTGGTAACCCAAGAGTACTTTTTGTTGTTATGGCCGTGGAAAGAAGTTCTTGTGCGGAAGCCTGGTTGCAACAAAAGCAATCCAGGCTGGCAGTAAATGTATCACTTGAAGAATTAAGGCTCTGTTAAGTCATACCCACAGTAGAGTAATCACATGTGTTCCCAAGTTGAAAATTCTCTTTTAGAAGATTAATTTTATTACAGCGTGAACGTGAGTGACTCATATATCCATGCAAATTGTAAATCATTGTATGGAAGTATGACAAATAAATGTAAGTGCAATTATCTGCCCGTATCTGTGATCCTATCTTATTATTACTAAAGGTAATGACTGATTGGTTATGACAAAGTATAACCAATAACTTAGATGGATGTTGGAAATTAATGGAATTCATTAAATCATCATTTATCAAATATAAATCATGGAATGTCGAACGGTAGAGTGAACTTCTATGTAGATACGCCATAATCTCCTGCAAGTAATCAGTGTGAAGGTATCGAACTCTATGGTAAGAAATAAGAAATACGACATATTATTATCTTTATACAGTCGGCCCTTAACATACGTGGGTTTATAATACACGGATTTGCAAATACGCGGATTGCCCTGCAGGAGGAATATTCTGTACATTGAAGTAATTGAAGTACATTCAAATCGAGCGGCACCGAACACGGGACACCGCCCGCTCCCGCAACCTCGCACACACACACACACACACACACATGCATAGCTCTCCCTCACTCAGTCAGTCTCGCTGTAACCACGCTTGTGTTGACATCAGCATTCTAGTTG